AGGAATGTGTGGAAAACGGAGTTAGGAGTACAGATAAGTGAGGAGTGTTGGGAACATGCTATAGAGAGGGTACAGACTACCACTTCTTGTGCTCGTCTTGGACTTATACAGTTCAAAGTTTTAAATAGAGTCCATTTGTCCAAGTCGAGATTGTCTGTGATGTATCCGGATGTTGAGGACAAGTGTGATAAATGCCATGGCTCTCCCTGTCATCTTGGCCATATGTTTTTCTTCTGCCCTGAACTCCATGGTTTTTGGTCTGGCTTCTTTACCATCATATCCACTATTCTCAGGGTAGATTTAAAGCCTTGTCAATTGATCGCGATATTTGGGATTCCTCAAGCTTCAATTCCTTTGAGCTCGATACAAAAGTATGTTATTGCTTTCACATCCCTTATAGCAAGACGTTCCTACTGTTACATTGGACGTCTGCTAAATACCCATCTATCTCCCAGTGGATAAAGGACGTGATGTTTTTTCTGAAACTCGAGAAAATAAGATATACGATGAATGGTTGTACAGATAAGTTTTTTCATAAATGGCATCCCTTTATTGCATACTTTATGGAGTTACAGACACTACCCACTTAAAGGTTGGTGCCTGGTGTTGAATTTTATAATATCTTTATAACCACGACAGTTAATGGGTAGCCATGATGAGCCGGAGGGGTGGGTTGTGGGTTCAATTTTGTTTTTCTTTGTATAAAAAGAAAAAAATCTGTGAATATTTACTGCTGTTGCTAATTTTGTATTTTTGGTTTAGATAGGCTTAGCAGTTCGACAGAAATGTTCATCAGAAATGTTTAATAAAAAAGAAACGTTATGCAGAAATATATAGCAGAAATGTTTAGCAGAACTGGTTTAGCAAAAATTGTTCAGTAGAAATGTAGAAATGTTCATCAGAAGTTCAGCAGAAATGTTCAATAAAAATGAAACATAAAAAAAAAACATCCCATACAGTTGAGTTCTTCCAACAGGGTAAGTTTGGGTTTGATGGTCAGGTGTCCAAAAACATTTGGCAAAATAATGTATTTATATATTGGGTGCACGGTGGCTTAGTGGGTAGCACGTTCGCCTCACAGGTCCGGGGTTCGATTCCTGCTGGGGCCATGTGTGTGCGGAGTTTGCATGTTCTCCCCGTGCTGCGGGGGTTTCCTCGGGGTACTCCGGTTTCCTCCCCCAGTCCAAATACATGCATGGTAGGTTGATTGGCAGGTTGGTAAATTGCCCATAGTGTATGAACGGGTGTGTGAGTGTGTATGTGATTGTGCCCTGCGATGGACTGGCACCCTGTCCAGGGTGTACCCCGCCTTGTGCCCGATGCTTCCTGGGATAGGCTCCAGGTTCCCCGCGACCCTGAAGCAGGAATAAGCGGTTGAAGATGGATGGATGGATGGATGGATGTATTTATATTTTACTGCCGGCATAAGGTAGGAATTTATTGACTACTTTATTAGGTACATCTACCGTGTCCATTTTACAAGGTAAACCTACTTCACAGATTCAATTTATAGGCAGAAAAGTTCATCTTGGACTGATCAGCTATGAGTTACCAAAACACATTCAGAGCTGCTCAAACTGATAGAACACCTTTGGCCAGCTGGTAAGCTATCTTCCAGCTTCCTTATTACTTGAATAAATTGATCAATATATGTTTTTGATATTTTAATTTGTTGTGTTATTTTCTTCCACATGATGTGATAGGATTTCGATTCTATTTCGATTTGATGACATCAATACCACTGCAATAGGATGCATTTCAAGAAGGTCTGTTTTGTCCTTTTTCAATCATAATAAATGAAGAATAAATTATAATAGATTTACAGTGCACGTCATTCACAGTGCACATTCTTTATTGCAAATTGTCACACTGGAGAAGCAGTAGTAATAGCATGTTTAGGTTTATTAGGATCATTCCCCCTTTTAAAAATCAACAACGCACTAAATACACTAACTAACCAGCAGACTTTGAATTATAAACAGACATGGTACATCAATAAAAATATCAATGATCATATACTAGGTGAAAGAGCAGTAATTTATTCATCATGTATTACATGTTTCTATAGGACACGCTACACACAGTAAGCCATACTTATTTACGACCAAAGCCTGAAAGGTCAAGGAAAGTTACAGGTCTGTTTTCTTCTCCTCCGTGAATTGATTTGGGCTCGTCAATCGCAAGAGCCGTCTTTCCAGCCATCTCTCCACCTCTCGTCCACTTTACTGCAGTCGAACTCTGGCTTTCCTAATCGGACATTGATGCCATTATGGAGCAGACAAAGCCATTGTGAGAGATGGTGACGACTGCTGGTGTCTGGTTGGTTTGTTTTCAGTCTGAGAAGAGATTTAAAAAATATTAACGTGCTCAGGATCAGCAAACACTTTTTGCAAAATGTAAGGCTAAATAATTAAGATGCCCACGTTGGGATTAATATTATTGCATTCATATAATATTAATTGTAATACTGCAAGCAAGCTGTGTTTCTACAACTTTCCAATTTCAGTATTCCATACTTTTCCCATGCTTTCTGTGAATTCATTGAACTGTGGTATTTTCATCCAAGACATATTTACTACAGATCCATCATTACTTAACCCTCCCAAACAAAAAAAAAAAAACAGGTGATATGAGTGTAATATTCTAAACTATTAAAATAACTGAGGAGGTCTCACATGCTCCATGGTCATTATTTCAGTTAGGGTTTATTTATTTATTTATTTGCTTTTGTTTGCTGAGGTCTTACTCAACATTCGCATAAACTTAAACTGTTAGAAAGCAGAGAGTGTCTGAAACTAATGAAATCATGAGGAATTTAAAATCTCAGGGTTTTTTTTTATTAAATCAAGTTATACAAATCCTGTAATGAAAGAGTAATAAATATTAATAATAATAATAAATAAATTTTTCCTAGATGTTTCCTTCAAATTTTTCCACACTTTTCCAGACATGCTTACATTATATTCCAGAGATATAACAATTCTCAGAAAGAGAGTAAACATCATAATGCTAATAGTACATTTTTAGAAATGTTTAAATTTAGACCACACAATCGTTCTTAAGTATTTCTCTTTAGATGAACACTATACAATTATAAGGTTGTATACCTTATAAGAATATTGAACTATAAGGTTCAATATAGTCCCTTTCTCTTTTAAAGATGCCTCTAATCTATCCAAAGACTATGCAAAGAACCCTTGAGGAACCCTTATTTCCAAGAGTTTAGGTCATCATTTTCAATGATCTAATCCAGTGCTTCACAATCCCGGTCCTGGAGGTTTTCTCTCCTCTGACTCGCCGAGTTCTATCCAGGGTTGTCAGTTATCTGATGACCAGAATCAGGCGAGTTGGCTGGAGGGGAAACATCCAATTGTGCAGTGTGGTGATAATCCAGGACCAGTACCAGTCCAGGGACGTGGTGGCTTAGTAATTAAAGTATTGTGCAAGACCCATTACCCTCACCTTCTCTAAACAATATAATGATATAACTATACATACAATAAGGGTACATACCTAAACAATATAAATGATACATACCTGGCTCTTAGGTCCTCAGCACATTCTTCACATGGGAAGAATTTCGAAAACAGGTTGATGAATTGAGTCATCTCTTGTTGTTGTGTTTTGGTGGGTGTATCAGGGTAGTACGCTGCCATAGTGTGGAGAACAGACCAAGAACTCCTCCCCAGTTCCTGTCTGTCCAGGGGACACTCCACAGGATTCTCATTCTCCTCAGCTACCTGTGTCTCCTAGTCCGAGAAAACGGTCTTTTCAGGAGATTATAGACTACGATCATCCTACAGACTCCAGATTGTTATGTCAAACAGAGATGATCCATAAAGCACTTAGTGATATAAGGCTAAGGTTTAACTTCATGTCAGGTCTTCCACTGATCACATAACATTGGCTTGAGAAGTGGTTTGGATCTTTGATGTTACAAGTCAGTCATGACTATGAGGTCTTGTATTATACTGGAATAAATTGGTTTGGCGTTCGATATTCGCAGATATGCGGAAGTTAAGAGGCCGTCTCTAAAGTTACATACGACATTGTTATACACGTTTCTAACTTCAATAGCATTTGAAGGGAATGATGTACAGTCATATAATCTACTGTACAGTGTTCATCTAGGTGTCAGGTATGAGGCACACCTTTTAGATTATTGATATTTAACCCTACAAAGCATGAACCAATAAAATCGTCATGAGTGCATAAAGGGGGTCAAAATGACCCGTACTGGATTGAATGGTTAGGGTTAGGGTTATAAATAAATAAATAAATAAATAAATAAATAAACATATATATAACAAAAGTGAGTACACCCCTAAGTGAACACACTACTAAGTTAACACACCTGCTCTCCATTCACACCTGAGACCTTGTAACAATAACAAGTCACATGACCCCGGGGAGGGAAAATGGCTAATTGGGCCCAATTTGGACATTTTCACTTAGGGGTGTAATCACTTTTGTTGCCAGCGGTTTAGACATTAATGGCTGTGTGTTGAGTTATTTTGAGGGGACAGCAAATTTACACTGTTACACAAGCTGTACACTCACTACTTTACATTGTAGCAAAGTGTCATTTCTTCAGTGTTGTCACATGAAAAGATATCATCAAATATCTACGAAAATGTGAGAGGAGTACTCACAGTGTATATGATATATACACACACATATATTCATACATATGAATATAATATAAAATATAAATATATATTATATATTTACACACACATTATCCATCCATCCATCCATCCATCTTCTACCGCTTATCCTTTTCAGGGTCACGGGGAACCTGGTGTCTATCAGACACAAGGCGGGGTACACCCTGGACAGGGTGCCAGTCCATGGCAGGGCACAATCACATACACACTCACACACCCATTCATACACTATGGACAATTTAAACACGCCAGTCTGGGGGAGGAAACCGGAGTACCCGGAGGAAACCCCCACAGGTGCAAGCACGTGGAGAACATGCAAACTCCGCACACACAGGTCCATGGTGGGAATCGAACCTTGGACCCTGGAGGTGTGAGGCGAACGTGCTAACCACCTTGCGCCACACACACATCAATCCATTCATTAATAGGACATCTATTTTTTCCTCCCCCAGTCCAAAGACATGCATGGTAGGCTGATTGGTAGGTTGGTAAATTGTCCATAGTGTATAAATGGGTGTGTGTGTATGTGATTGTGCCCTGCGATGGACTGGAACCCTGTCCAGGGTGTACCCCGTCTTGTGCCCGATGCTTCCTGGGATAGGCTCCAGGTTCCCCGCGACCCTGAAGAAGGAATAAGCGGTTGAAGATGGATGGATGGATTCAATCCAGTACGGGTCATTTTGACCCTCTTTATGCATTCGTGAAGGTTTTTTTGGTTCATGCATTGTAGGGTTAAATATCAAATATCTAAAAAGGTGTGCCTCATACCTGACACCTAGATGAACACTGTACAGTAGAGTATATGACTGTACATCATTCCCTTCAAATGCTCTTGAAGTTAGAACCCGTGTGTAACAATGTCACATGTAACTTTAGAGACGGTCCCTTCATTTTCCGCGAATATGGAACGTCCAACATCACACCCACTTTACTCCAGTGTAGAACATGACTACATTGTAGACTCTTAACCACGTGGAAGTGGAGTCAGTTAAGGTGAGACCTGCTCACCTGCGCTGTGACTGAAGACGCCTGTTTCTTCTGAAATTTCATCCATGATTTAAAGTCCGAGCACGCTCGGCATGGTTTCTCTTTGACCTCTCCGCTGGCTTCCTGGTCTCTTCTAGAGGTTTCCTCATACAGTTTCCCAGCTACAGGGAATGGGAAACCCTCCATGCTAGAGTAATTTTCAGATTATAACCAGGCTCACTGCGCTGCCATGTTTCCACTACCTACAGAGACATGCATCATGGGATGATAGAATTATAAATAAATAAAATGATATAATTAGATGATATTGGTTATCTTTTTAGACACGTCCACTAATACCGTTCAAAACATTTTTTTTTACCAGACTGATTCTTCGAATAACATTTCCTTTGCGTTTGTCAAACTGGAACTATAGATTTCCAAAGCCGTTTCCACCCGGCCGATGTTCTGCGCTGCACCGCCGTCTTCCGCTCGGGTGGTGGTGATGTCATCACCGGGTCATGCTGCAGACTTCGAGTTGTTCAGAATTTGTACACCCTTTCTTGTGCGTGAGTGTTTGTTTGTACGTGATACAGACGACACGTTCCCGTTTTGCATGCGTGTGTATTGCTTCTATTGCCTGGTGAATTCGGTTGTTAAGGTGATTCATAAGTTGCTGAAAGAAAAAAAGAAAGAAAGAAATAAACCTTGCTAGTTTTGCTAGCTAGCCACAGAGCAGTTCATGGCTGTATGAATAATAATAATAATAATAATAATAATAATAATAATAATAATACTAGGTTTCATGTCATTGTCGTTTTCACAGGTTGCCTGGTTCTGAAGGCCTCGTGCTTGTGGGACGATGGGTATTCTGGAGAAGATAGCCGAGATTGAGCGAGAAATCGCTCGAACTCAGAAAAACAAAGGTAGACAGCGTGATTAGCTGCTCTAGACAACCATCTGGTTCATTAGAGCTCAGCATGGTCTGTGAGAGAGACTGACGTGATGACAGTGGAAGGCCTGGCTTATTTTTAGAGGAGGAGGAGAGGAGAAGAAAAACGAGAGAAGATTAGAGGAGAAGATTAGAGAGGAGAAGAGAAGCGAGAGGAGAGAAGCAAGAGAAGTGAGAGGAAGAGGATAGAGGAAAGGAGAGAGGAGGAGATAAGAGAGGAGGAGAAGAGAAGTGAGAGGATGAGAAGAGAAGCGAGAGGAGAAGAGAATCGAGAATAGGAGAGTGGAGAGGAGGAGGAGAGAAGTGAGAGGAGGAGAAGAGGAGGAGAAGAGAAGTGAGAGGATGAGAAGAGGAGGAGAAGAGAAGTGAGAGGAGGAGGAGAGAAGTGAGAGGAGGAGATGCGAGAGGAGAAGAGAATCGAGAATAGGAGAGTGGAGAGGAGGAGGAGAGAAGTGAGAGGAGGAGAAGAAAAGTGAGAGGAGGAGGAGAGAAGCGAGGAGAGGGGTTAAACTGTGGTTTAGGAGAATGTGACCGCCTTGTCCTGGTTCATGAGGACCAGTACAGTTTGGAGTAGTATTGATTCATTAGTGTGTATATGGAGTTCTCATTACTGACACCGACTGTTTCTGTACTACAGGCTTCATTTAACTTCATATATGTAGGTGGCAAGACCTTAATGTTTTGTCTTTCTCGGTTTGTCTGCCAATTTTCTGAGCATATCTAGTGTCTTTTTTGCAAAGAAACGTGTTACCCTAAATCCTTTAAAAACAAAAACTAGCACCTTCTAAGAACTTTTGGAAAACTGTAGTAGGGTTTGGGCCGTGTATATATACCGGTTATAAGAAATTGTCATCCCGTGATATCGACGAGACAGTTGGTGACGTGTTTTACGCACCGCGTGTACACCTCTCAAAAATGTATGCTGATGTGACTTGTGGCCGGACAGATAGTGATGAATGTGACTGTATTCTTTTCGTTGTTTATATCGTTACTGCAAAAGAGATCGTGGAATATCGTGATACAGTTTTAAGTCTGTATCGCCCATCTCTAGTTCATAAATGTTTGCTGAGGAATGACCTGCTCTGACTTGTGAAATACAGCAGGACCAGACAGAACATTCATTGCTTATATGTGTAACGTCTAATGGAGTTAGGGACGCAGATGATCAGAGTAGAATGGGAGGAGTTAGTGTAGATAGTAGTTATGAAGTGGTGGTCTGTCAGAATACTTTTTCAGTTACATGTATATGAAAAGCTTGATGGAAACTTTTCAAATGCAGTCTGCTGTAACAGATTTCAGTTACTCAGGTTATTCATGTAAAACTCTCCCTCATCTCCCTCATCATCTGCTTCTGATCTGTCTTCAACTTATTTTCAGCGACCGAGTACCATCTAGGTTTGCTAAAAGCCAAGCTCGCCAAGTACAGATCCCAGCTTCTGGAACCTTCGAAATCATCCGGAGCCAAAGGTGAAGGCTTTGATGTAATGAAATCGGGTGATGCCCGGGTTGCTCTAATTGGATTTCCATCAGTTGGCAAGGTAATGATGGTATAATCTGTGGAACGCTGGGTGCGCCTCAATCAGCTCACTCATTCAGTAGTCAGGGCACTGGTCAGGGAGTTAGCCTTTTTAAGGGCTGTCTCAATCGCAAAATCCTTCCAGTACACTTGAACGTTCACACCTTCAAAAAAAAAATCCCACAATGCACCACAAAAACCAGGGAGCATCGATTCTCACTATGGTTCCTTACTGGAAATGATGTCATGTTTTCTAAAGCCTCTTAGTGCAAAAAAGAAAAAAGCGGACAAACTCTCAGCTCAACTTCGTCTGCAAATGTAAGAAGCTTATCATCGTTGTTATTCTCAAGTGATTACTTACTTTGGAGATTTTGAACTGTATTTGATGTTCTGTATACGTTTTAATTGAGACTGAACGTCTTTTAAGTGTTCAATGATTTAAAAAAAAAATAAAAAATTAGCTTCGCTACGATCCTGCTTGAAGGACCATGACTGAAACGCGTGTGATTAAGCTAACGAATTAATATGACGTATAATGTCAGAAAGATATCGGTCCTTTTACAACATGAGTACGTAGCCGTGTTGCCGCAAATGGAATCGTCAGTGTCCCTATGTGTAGCGAGCCAGGAACCTCACCAGTGCACGAACTCGTGTACACCAGATACTGATTCAGCACAGAGGGAGCTGATTGAGACGTAACCACGGTAACATGAACACAGCTTGATGTGCAGTCCTTTACAAACTGACATGTTTTTTTTTTTTTTTTACAGTCTACATTTCTGAGCTTAATGACCTCAACAGAAAGTGAAGCGGCTTCATATGAGTTCACTACACTAACCTGCATCCCAGGTGTTATTGAGGTACATATTTGTATTTTTTTTTAAACTTCCAATACATCAACTGGGATTTTAAGTAGAATTTAAATGATTAATTTATTTTTAAATCTTCCACCAGTATAAAGGTGCCAACATACAGCTGCTGGATTTGCCCGGAATCATTGAAGGAGCAGCTCAGGGTATATGATTTTTAGAGGTTAATATAATGTTTTGTTTGTATCTCTCTTCCTGACATTTTTAATACATTACTGGTGTTTTCACAGGAAAGGGTAGAGGCAGACAGGTGATAGCTGTAGCCAGAACTGCAGATGTGGTTATCATGATGCTGGATGCAACCAAAGGGGATGTGCAGAGGTAAGTGTTCTGTCTTATGAGCTTAAAAATCAGTTTGCACTTTGTGTTTTTGAACGATCCTTCCGTATTTTCTCTTTTAGGGAACTTCTGGAAAAAGAGCTTGAATCGGTTGGGATCAGACTCAACCGGTGCAAACCCAATATTTACTTTAAGGTGTGTCTTCTTGTAACCAATCACGAGCAATTAGTGATAAAAAATGATGCCTTCAGTCATACAGAGGACCTTTTTCTTCTCTTTTTAGCCTAAGAAAGGTGGTGGTCTGTCCTTTAATTCGACGGTTCCTCTTACACATTGCTCTGAGAAGCTTGTGCAGCTCATTCTTCACGAGTATAGTATCCTTTATCAGCTTTGCCTTAACTGGACTTTTCTTGACACATTCTGTATGTTTGTGGAAAGGATATTGCTTTAACTCGATCCTTTAGAAATCTTCAATGCTGAGGTTCTGTTCAGAGAAGACTGTACATCAGACGAATTTATTGACGTCATCATGGGCAACAGAGTGTACATGCCTTGTTTATATGTGAGTATCAGTCTGCCTCTGTGAGATTAATCTTCACCAACTATTATCACCAACACCTTTTAATTGTTTCTACAGTATTAGAGGTTGACAGATTGACCGGTTTTGTCAATTAAGCAGCACCAATTGTTGTAAAAAGCCACACCGGGTTTTTCTGTTGCGGAGCAGCTGAGAGTGTCCTCTGTCATTATACAGTACGAGAGCGGCCTCTAGAGGCAAAATAAAAACCATCACAGACCAATTTTGTTGTTATTTGAAGTGTTTTTT